CATCTGCCGCAACCAGTGACAAGAGGAGGATAGGACAAAAGACATGCTGTGGAAGAGAGCCAGAGATTAAGAAGAAGTATGATTCAGTGCAGAGAGGTCTGTTAACACATAGTGAGCAAGAAAGGTGACTAAAGAAGAAATATAAGAAGTATAATAAAATCGGTTTTAACAAAGCAAATAACTAAATCCTGCACGTTTTTTACCGCACTACTTCTTTTTCAAAGAAAACAAAATGAATATGTAAAAAATGCATTCTTATTCCCTCAAAGTTTCATTAAACTTATGCAAGCTACAGATTTTGCATAGGTGCATAGACTCCGTTAGAGGTTGGATGGCTGATAACTTTCTTCAACTCTATGAGGAGAAAACTGAAGTCCTTGTCTGTGCTCCTGAAACATTTGTACCTAGGGTTATGGAAAATTTAGCTCCTCTTGCTACATTTGCCAAACCTTCTGTCAGGAATCTTGGTGTAACTTTTGACTCAGCCCTGACTTTGGATGCTCATGTTGAATCTCTGGTTCACTCCTGTTTTTATCCCTTGAGAAACATTTCTAAGCTGAGTCACAGTGTCTCACGCTTAGAACTGGAAATTGTCATACATGCATTTGTTTCATCTCGTTTGGACTATTGTAATCCTTTCTTCACTTGTACACAAGGCCTCCTCGTCCTCCTGTTTGTTTTACAGAACACTGCTGCAAGGCTTCTGACCAAGTCTCCCAAGTACTCGCAAGTCACACCCTTGCTAAGTCAGCTGCACTGCTTCTTGTTACTTTATATTTTGTTTCCAGCGAGTCTTTTAATTTCCGAAAGTGGTCTTGCACAACACTTTTACCCCCTTCTGTGGGCCTTTAAAAGTTTTCTGTGGATATTGTCTGTTTTTTCACTCATTTTCAGTCCCGTCATTGTATCTGACTATTTTCAGAGGAATGTATTTTTAATACTGACCTATGAATCATTCAAGCATGATGAACCTGTGTTAATTGTATATTTAGGAACATTGTTACTATCGGCCTGTCATATAAACATGATATGTGCCAATTTGTGTAGCTGAACACAAAATGCAGAAGTTTACACATTTTGCACCAACAAAAATGGTTTCTCATGTCCTTAAAAAAATTGAGGAAATTGGGCAAGCGGTGGACAAAACAGGCTTAAAAAAACAATCTACTACAAATAATTGTTATCTGAAAGTCATGTCCCTAAGAAATAAGAGAAAATCCAGCAAAGACCTGACACAGGACCTGAGCGATTAATCTGACACATTAGTTGATCCATCTACTATTCACTGAAGCTTCATGAGAGCCAACATCCAAAGAAGAACTTTGAATGTCCTTCAAGAAACCTGGACAACTATTTCTGAAGACTGCTTAGAGAAATGACAAACAAGCTGCCTAAGAGAGTTCAGGCTGTGTTGAAAAATAAAGGTGGTCATACCAAATATTGACTTTCAAGTTTGCTAGTATTGCACAAAGGCTGTGTCCCAAAACGT